CAACCAAGATTACTTTATCCAGCAAAGCTATCATTCAGAATTGAAGGTCAGATAAAGAGCTTCACAGATAAGATAAAGCTAAAGGAGTTCATCACCACCAAACCAGTATTATATGAAATGCTGAAAGGTATCCTTTAAGAAGATGAAGAAGAAGAAAAAGGTAAAGATACAAATTATGAACAACAAATACACATCTATCAATAAGTGAATCTAAAAAATCAAGTGAATAAATAATCTGATGAACAGAATGAACTGGTGAATATAATAGAATCAGCGGCATAAAAAGGGAATGGACTGACTATTCTCGAGGGGGAAAGGGGTGTGAGGGTTGCGGGAAGAGACTGGACAAAAATCATACACCTATGGATGAGGACAGTGGGGGAGATTGGTAAAGGCAGAAGGTGGGGTGGGAACCGGGTGAAGGGGAGCTATGGGGGGAAAAAGAAGAACAACTGTAATAATCTGAACGATAAAGATTTAATTTAAAAAAATAAAAAATAAAAAATAAATTTGGGGAGGACATAATTCAGCCCTAACAGAAAAAAAAAAAAAAAAACACATATGTAATATGACATCTTCAGAACATTTCACCCCAAAGCTACAGAATATACATTCTTCTCAAGTACACATGGGGCATTTTCAAAGAGAGATCACATGTTAGGACATAGGCTAAGTTTGTACAAATTGAAAAAGTTTGAAATCATTTCCAGTGTCTTCTCAAATCACAATGGCATAAAATTAGAAATCAACTATAATAAAACAGTCAAACACATGGCGGCTAAGTAGCATGCTATTAAACAATAAATGGGTTACCAAAGATATTAAAGAAGAAATAAAAACATCCTGGAAATAAATGACAATGAAAACACAACAATCCAAAATCTATGGGACACAATGAAAACAATTCTGGGAAGGAAGTTCATAGCACTATAGACTTACCTCAAAACACAAGAAAAACTTGTAATAAGCTATCTAACTCTACAACTTAAAGAATTAGAAAGATAACAGCAAAAAAAGTCCAAATTAAGTAGAAGTAATCTATCTATACAAAACCCTAATATGAAAATCGATTGAATGGCGGAACAACTGGTGGCTATGATGCACACTGACCACGGTCAACACAGGAGCTGCCCCCAGCCCACAGGCTCCGACCAGTGGTGACAGGGGGTGGGCCCAGCAAGTGGGCAGTGCCAGGCCAGCCAAGGCGGGTGTGAGCAGGGGCCCCCAAACGCCCCACTGGTTGCCCCCAGAGGGAGATGACCAGTAGGGGGGGCAGGGCCGGTGAGTGGGTGGTGCCAGGCCAAGGTGGGTGCAAGTGAGGGCCCTGATCACCCCGCAAGTCGCCCCACAGATTGGCCTTGTTCGCCATCCAAGCCAAGGGACCCTACTCATGCACGACTTTTGGGCACTGTTCCTCTTCTATCTATATAAAACTCTAATATGCAAATTGACCGAACAGCAGAACAACCCATCGCTATGATGTGTAGTGACCATCAGGGGGCAGACGCTCAACACAAGAGGTGCTCCCAGCCCACAGGTTCTGACTGTCAGTGACAGGGGGCATGGCCAGTGAGCAGGCAGTGCCAGGTCAGCCAAGGTGGGTGCGAGCAGGAGCCCCCTATTTCCCCACTGGTCACCCCCAGAGGGAGGGGACCGGGGAGGGGGGGCAGTGAGTGGGTGGTGCCAGGCCAAGGCGGGTGCAAACTGGAGGCCTGATCACCCGGCAAGTCACCCCACAGATTGGCCCTGTTTGCCATCCAAGCCTAGGGACCCTACCCATGCACGACTTTCGGGCACCGTGACTCTAGTGAAATAATAAAGATCACAGCAGAAATAAATGACATAGAGGCATAAAAAATACAACAATACAAAAGATCAGTAAAACCAAGAGCTGGTTCTTTGAAAAGATAAACAAGATTGATGAACCTTTTGCCAGACTCACCAAGAAACAAAGAGAGAGAGAACCCAAATAAACAAAATCAGAAACGAAAGAGGTGAAGTAACAACTGACCCCACAGAGATACAAAGGATTGTAAAATAAGACTATGAACAACTCTTTTCCAATAAACTGAACAACCTTGACCAAATGGACATATTCCTAGAAAGCATACAATATTCTAAAATTCAATTAAAAAGAAAGAGAAAACCTGAATAGACTGATAACTACTGAGGAAATTGAAGCAATGTTAAAAAGAAAAGAAACTCCAGGCAAACAAAAGCCCTGCTCCAGATGGCTTCACAGGGGAGTTTTGCCAAATATTCAAAGAAAAACTAATATGTATCCTCCTAAGACTATTCCAAAAATTTCAGAAGGAAGAAACACTTCCAAACACTTTCTATGAAGCCAGCATTACTTGAATTCCAAAACCAGATAAAGACCCTACAAAGAAAGAGAATTATAAGCCAATATCCTTGGTGAACATAGATGCTAAATTCCTCAACAATATTCTAGCAAATTAGATCCAACAATACATTATAAAACAAGAAAAGCTTGTAATAAGTTATCTAATCCTACAACTTAAAGAATTAGATAGATAGCAACAACATACACCATGATAAAGTGGGATTTATTCCAGGAGCACAGGCTGGTACAATATCCACAAATCAATACAGGTGATACAGCACATAAACAAACTGAAAGATAAAAACAATATAATCATATCAATAGATGCTAAAAAAAAAGCATTTGACAAAGTCTAACACCCTTTTTGGATCACAACTCTCAACAAAGTGGAAATAGAGGGATCATACCTCAACATAATAAAATCCTTATATGGCAAACCTATAGCCAACATAATACTCAATGGGTTAAAACTAAAACCATTTCCCCTAAGAACAGGAACAAGGGGTGCCCACTTTAACCTCTCCTATTTGAAATAGTACTAGAAGTGCTAGCTGCAGTGATCAGACAAAAAGAAGAAATAAAAGGAATCCAAATTTGAAAGGAGGAGGCAAAACTGTAACTATTCGCAGACAACATGATATTGTACATAGAAAATCCTAAAGACTCCATGAAAAAACTACTAGATTTAATAAATGAATTTGGTAACATAGCAGGATATAAGATTAATACCCAGAAACCTATGGCATTTTTATACACCAATAATGAACTCTCAGAAAGGGAAACTAAACAAACAATCCTATTTACCATTGAAACAAAAAAAATTAGGATACTTAGGAATAAACTTCACTAAGGAGGTAAAAGACCTATACTCAGAAAACTACAGGATGTTGAAAAAAGAGATAGAGTAATATATACACAAATGGAAGAATATACTGTGTTCATGGATTGGTAGAGTCAACATCAATAAACTGGCCATACTACTGAAAGCAATCTATAGATTAAATGCAATTGTTATCAAAATACCAAGGGCATATTTCAAAGGCCTAGAACAAATATTCCTAAAATTTATATGTCATCAATAAAGACTCAAAATAGCCACAGCAATCTTGAGAAAGAAGAACAAAGTTGGAGGGATCACAATACCAGATATCAACTTATACTACAAAAACACTGTACTCACAAGAGCCTGGTACTCATACAAGAACGGGCATATAGACCAATGGAACAGAACAGAGAACCCAGAAATCGATACAAGCCATTATGGTCAATTAGTATTTGACAAAGGAGGTAAGAGCATACAAGGGAGTCAACACAGTCTCTACAATAAATGGTGTTGGGAAAATTGGACTGATATATGCAAAAAAATGTAACTAGACCACACACTTACACCATACACAAGAATAAGCTCAAAATCAATAAAAGACCTAAGTGTAAGTTGTGAAATCATAAAAATCCTAGAAGAAACCATAGGCAGCAAAATCTCCAACATATTTTGTAGCAATATGTTTACGATACAACTCATAGGACAATGGAAACTAAGGACAAGTAAATTAAGGACAAGTAAGGATAAGTAAACAAATGGGATTACATTAAAATTAAAAGCTTCTGTACAGCAAAGGAAACCATCAACAAAATAACAAGAGAGCCTACTGCATTGAACATATTTGCCAATGATACATCTGATAAGGGGTTACCCCCCAAATTTATATGGAACCCATACAGCTTAACAAAAGGAAGATAAACAATCCAATTAAAAAATGTGCAAAGGACCTAAATAGACACTTCTCCAAAATGGACATACAGAAGTCCAAAAGGCATATGAGAAAATGCTCAAAGTCACTAGTCATCCAAGAGATGCAAATCAAAACAACAATGAGTTACCACCGCACGCTTGTTATAATGGCTATCTTCAACAAATCTGCAAATGACAAGTGTTGGCAAGGATGTGGAGAAAGGGAAACCCTCGTACAATACTGATGGAAATACAAACTGGTGCAGCCTCTGTGGAAAACAGTTTGGAGTTTCCTAAAAATATTAAAATAGAACTCCCATTTGGCCCAGTGGTTCCACTTCTAGGAATATATTCCATTAATTCAGAAACACTCATCAGAAAGAATATATGCACCCCTATGTTCTTAGAAGTTCAATTTACAGTAGCTAAGATCTTGAAACAGCCTAAGTGCCCATCAGCAGATGAATGGATTAAAAAACTGTAGTACATGTATACAATGGAATACTACCCAGCTGTAAAAAAGAAAGAACTCTTACCATTTGCAACAGCATGGATGAACCTAGAGAGCATTATGCTAAGCGAAATAAGCTCCTCAGAGAAAGATAAACATCACATGATCTCACTCATACATGGAATCTAATGAACAACATAAACTGATGAACAAAAATAGACCCAGAGACATAGAAACATTGAACAGAATGTTAAATCCCTTGTGTATATTTATATGACCAAAGAGAAGATTTGTAGAAATGCATGTGGGCTATAAATATTGATTACTTCATGGCAAAAACAATGATTTGGTGAAGGTGGGAGTCAGGACATATATATGTGTGCAAATTACTGTTTTTACTTTGTGCATCATGGATTGTTTCTGTATTTAAGATGAGCATGTGTTGAGTCTTTCACCTCAGTCTTGAGCTCTAGCTGGTAGAGAGACATATGCGCTCTGGTTCTTCAGTACCAGCAGCCGCCATTGACTCCATTTGGTTCCTCTGGGCACATCTGCGCCACTCGCCCGCCACATACTCCACCGTCATAAGCCACACCATAGTGAAGCTCGCAAAGGCTGGTAAAAATCAAGGTGACCCCAAGAAAATGGCTCCTCCTCCAAAGAAGGTAGAGGAAGATAGTGAAGATGAGGAAATGTCAGATGAAGAAGATGAAAGCAGTGGAGAAGAGATTATTATTCCTCAGAAAAAAAGCAAGAAGACTACCATAACTCCAGGAAAGAAGGTGATGGTTTCCCCAACAAAAAAGATTGCAGTTGCAACACCAGGCAAGAAAGCAGTTGTCACCCCTGGCAAAAAGGCAGTGGTTGTGCCAACCCCTGGCAAAAAGGCAGCAGCTACACCAGCCTAAGCATTAGCCACACCTGGTAAGAAGGGAGGCACACTAGGCAAAGCATTGGTAGCAACTCCTGGTAAGAAGGGTGTAGCCATCCCAGTCAAGGGAGCAAAGAATGGCAAGAATGCCAAGAAGGAAGATAGTGATGAGGAAGATGATGACGACAGTAAAGAGGAGGAAGATGACGATGAAGAGGATGAGGATGAAGATAAAGATGAAATTCAGCCAGCAGTGATGAAAGCTACTGCTGCTGCTCCTGCCTCAGATGATGAGGATGATGACGAAGATGAGGATGAAGATGAGGATGAGTATGATGAAGAAAAAGATGACTCTGAAGAAGAACCAATGGAGATTGCACCAGCCAAAGGCAAGAAAGGTCCTGTAAAAGCTGTTCCTGTGAAGGCTAAGAGCACAGCTGAGGATGAAGATGAGGAGGAGAATGAAGATGAGGAGGATGACGATGAAGATGATGAGGACGATGAAGATGATGAAGACGAGGATGATGAAGATGAGGAGGAGAATGAAGATGAGGAGGATGACGATGAAGATGATGAGGACGATGAAGATGATGAAGATGAGGATGATGAGGAAGAGGAGGAGGAAGAGCCTGTCAAAGAAGCACCTGGAAAACGAAAGAAGGAAATGGCCAAACAGAAAGCTGCTCCTGAGGCCAAGAAACAGAAAGTGGAAGCCACAGAACTGACTACGGCTCTTTGTTGGAAACCTGAACTTCAGCAAGTCTGCTCCTGAATTAAAAATGGGTATTAGTAATGTTTTTGCTAAAAACGATCTTGCTGTTGTGGATGTCAGAATTGGTGTGTCCAGGAAGTTTGGCTATGTGAATTTTGAATCTGCTGAGGACCTGAAAAAAGCCTTAGAACTCACTCATTTAAAAGTCTTTGGCAATGAAATTAAACTAGAAAAACCAAAGGGAAAAGACAGTAAAAAAGATCAAGATGCAAGAACACTTTTAGCAAAAAGTCTGCCTTATAAAGTTACTCAGGATGAATTAAAAGAAGTGTTTGAAGATGCTATGGAGATCAGATTATTCAGCAAGGATGGAAAAAGAAAAGGGATTGCTTATATTGAATTTAAGACAGAAGCTGATGCAGAGAAAACCTTGGAAGAAAAGCAAGGGACAGAAATAGATGGGCGATCCATTTCTCTGTACTATACTGGAGAAAAAAGTCAAAATCAAGACCATAGAGGTGGGAAGAACAGCACTTGGAGTGGTGAATCAAAAACTCTGGTTTTAAGCAACCTTTCCTACAGTGCAACAGAAGAAACTCTTCAGGAAGTATTTGAAAAGGCAACTTTTATCAAAGTGTCCCAGAATCAAAATGGCAAATCTAAAGGGTATGCATTTATAGAATTTGCTTCATTTGAAGATGTTAAAGAAGCTTTAAATTCCAGTAATAAAAGAAAAATTGAGGGCAGAGCAATCAGGCTGGAATTGCAAGGACCCAGAGGATTGCCTAATGCAAGAAGCCAGCCATCCAAAACTCTATTTGTCAAAGATCTGTCGAGGAGACTACGGAAGAGACATTGAAGGAGTCCATTTGATGGCTCTGTCCGGGCAAGGATAGTCACTGACTGGGAGACGGGCTGTTCCAAAGGGTTTGGTTTTGTAGACTTCAACAGTGAGGAAGATGCCAAAGGTGCTAAGGAGGCCATGGAAGATGGTGAAATTGATGGAAACAAAATTACTTTGGATTGGGCCAAGCCTAAGGGTGAAGATGGCTTCGGGGGTCGTGCTGGAGGCAGAGGTGGCTTTGGAGGCAGAGGTGGTGGCAGAGGAGGCCGAAGTGGACTTGGTGGAAGAGGCCAGGGAGGTTTTGAAGGTCAAGGAGGCTTCCAAGGAGGCAGAGGAGGAGGAGGAGACCATAAGCCACAAGGAAAGAAGATGAAGTTTGAATAGTTTCTTCTATCCCTGTCTTTCCCTCTTCCGTTTGAAAAAGAAAGGACTCTGGTGTTTTTACTCTGTTACCTGATCAATGACAGAGCCTTCTAAGGACATTCCAAGACAGTATACAGTCCTGTGGTCTACTTGAAAATCCATTTAGATAACATTTCAAAGGAGATAGCCTGTTGGTTTTGACTGGATATTCATATAAACTTTTTAAAGAGATGAGTGGTAGAGCTAACCCTTATCTGTAACTTTTGAATTTATATTGTTTCTTCCTTTGTACAAAACCATTTTTCCCTACAAATAGTTTTGTGTGTGTGTGTGTGTGTGTGTGTGTGTGTGTGTGTGTGTGTGTGTTGGGATATAAAGGAAAGCATAACGTTTTATCATAATTTTGCTTCAGCAGCTATGGGACAAATTAAAAGTCCTAAACTCTGGTGCCAAAAAAAAAAGATTAGCATGTGTTACTTTTCAAACTAAGAAAAATGATAAAGTCATGGTGGGAAAATAGAATACAATAACTGAAATTAATAATATACTAAAGAGAATCAATAGTAGATTAGATGAAGCAGATGATTGAATCAGCAATTTGGAAGACAGGGTAGCAGAAAACACCCAATCAGAACAGCAAAAGGAAGAAAAGAATATAAAAACCATGACAATAGTTTAAGTGATCTCTGGGACAACATCAAGCATACCAACATTCACATAATGGGGGTACTGGAAGGAGAAGAGAGAGAACAAGAAATTGAAAACTTGTTTGAAGAAATAATGACAGAAAACTTCCCTAACCTGGTGAAGGAAACAGACATATAAGTCCAGGAAGCACAGAGAGTCCCAAACAAGATAAACCCAAAGAGGCCCACACCAAGACACATCATAATTAAAATGTCAAAGGTTAAAGACAAAGAGAGAATCTTATAAACAGCAAGAGGAAAACAGTTACTTACCTACAAGGGTTCCCATAAGACTTTCAGCTAATTTCTCAACAGAAACACTACAGGCCAGAAGGAATTGACATGAAATATTCAAAGTGATGAAAATCAAGAACCTACAACCAAGATTACTCTGTCCAACAAAGTTATCACTTAGAACTAAAGGACATATAAATAGCATCCCAGGCAAGAAAAAGTTAAAGGTGTTTATCATCACCATACCAGTATTACAAGAAATGTTAAAGAGTCCTCTTAAAGAAGTAGAATTGGGGGGGGGGGGCGCTAAAACATGAGTAATAAAATGGCAATAAATATATACTCTCAACAATTGCTTTAAATGAAAATTAAATTAAATGTTCTAATCAAAAGACATAGTTTGGCAAAATGGATAAGAAAACAAGGCCCACACATATGCTGTCTACAAGAGACTCACTTAATATCAAAATATACACATAGACCGAAAGTAAAGGGAGGAAAAAGGTATGTCATGCAGATGGAATTGAAGAACAAAAGCTAGGGTAGCAATACTTATACCAGACAAAATAGACTTTATAACAACGGCTATAACAAGAGACCGAAAAAGGACCCAACAATTCCCCTTGTGGGTATTTATCTGAAGAAACCCAGAATACTAATACAAAAAGACATAGGTATCCAAATGTTCAGTGCAGCATTATTTACAATAGCCTCAGTTCCCATTAGTAAATGAAGGGGTAGAGAAGAGTTGGCACATACATACAATGGAATATTACTGGGTTATAAAAAAATAATGAAATCTTGCCATTTACAGCAACACGTGTAAACCTAGATGGTATTGTGCTGAGTGAAATAAGTCAGTGAGAGAAAGACAAATACAATATGATTTCACTTATATGTGGAATTTAAAGAACAAAATAAATGAACATACTAAACAGAAAGAATCATAGATACAGAGAACATTTTGACAGTTGCCATATGGGAGGGGATTGAGGGCTGGGTGAAAAATATGAAGGAAACAAATTGGTTATTACAGAATGGTCATGGGGATGTAAAATACAGCATAGGGAATATAGTCAATAATATTGCAATAACTAAGTATGGTGTCAGATGGGTATTAGATTTATAAATATCTAATCTCTAAGTTGTACACCTAAATCTAATATATTGTACATCAACTCTAATTTAAAATAAAATTTTATTTTTTAAGATAGAAAAGAAATTAACAGAAGACATAAAAAACTGAAGAGATAGTCAATGTTTATGACTAGGAAAGATATATAAAAGGTGTCAATTCTCCCAATTGACTCAAATTCATCATGACTCCAATTAAAATTCGAATTCTTTAAGAGAGAAAACAATTTAAAAAGCTTCCAGAGACAGCCTCTGCAGATTACAAGGGTTACAAAAGCCTAATCGGTATTCTTGCCTTTTAACATTTGTCCTAAGACTGTTGTTGTCAGGGTTTGCTCCATAAAATGGAAATCAATTTGACTTTGTCAGTCTCCAGCCCAGAATCCATTCATGAATCCCTATTGACTTGATGAGATTAAATGCAAACTCCTAAGAACACCATTCAAGTCCCCAGGCTACTTTCTCAAGCTTATCTTCCACCCAGTACCTACCTAAAACACCCACACATACCTTTTTTATTCACATCATATCATTCATATTTCAAGAATACAAACCATTTTTCATGCTGTTCCATCAGCTTGAAATACCTTTCTTTACTTTGTGATTATTTGATTATGCTTCAAAGCCCAACTCAAAGATCACCTTCTGTTCTGTTAACCTCATTGAAGAAAATGAATGCAGAAATATTTAATCCAGAGCTGATTCCTATTCTGAGGTCCCTAGAGCTCCTGGGAGTCCATGAGGATAGTATGTGAGTTTAAGGTGTTTATGTATTTTTCTTTTCATTGGGGCAAAATGTATATACAGTGAAATGCACAGATCTGATATGTACAATTTGAAGATTTTAGTTTTGCAAATGCAAACATCTATGTGACCACCACCCCAATGAGGGTATTTCCTCCAGATATGTCCTTCATTCCAGAAGTTTCCCTGTACCACTTTCCAGGCAATCTCCACCCACAATAGGCAACCACCTGATTTCTGAAAGACAACTGCCCTGATTTCTATTACTATGGATTCATCTTTCCTGGTTTAGAATTTCATGTAAATAGAATCATGCAGTATATATTCTTATTATCTGGCTTCTTTTGCTTCTCATGTGTTGTTTTTTTTAAAAAAAAATCCTATATAATAAAAGCCTAATATGCTAAGTGTACGGTTGTCCAATTGGCTGCTCAACCAATCAAAGTATAATATGCTAATGATATGCTAAGGCTGCTCAACCGCTCGCTATGATGTGCACTGACCACCAGGGTGCAGACAGTTGACCAGTCTCTATGATGTGCACTGACCACCAGGGGGCAGATGCTCTGACTAGTAGGTTAGCTTGCTGCTGGGGTCTGGCCAATCAGGACTGAGCAAAATGTGCTGGACACACCATGGAGCCCTCCCGTGGCCCCTTCCTGGCTGGCTAATCTCTGTCCCTCCCCAGCCACGATCATGCACTGGTGGGGTCCCTCGGCCTGGCCTGCAACCTCTTGCAATCCGAGATCCCTTGGGAGATGTCAGAGAGCTGGCTTTAGCCCAATCCTGCAGGCCAGGCCAAGGGACCCCACTGGTGCACAAATTCGTGAACCAGGCCTCTAGTTTATTCCATATTATGGGATAAAAGGAGTTCTTTCCTTTATTTTTTTAAGTATTCCATGTATGACTACCACATTTGTTTACCTGTTGACTCCTTGATAGGCATTTGAGCTGCTTCCTATTTTTGGCTATTATGAATAAAGCTCTTCTAAACATTCTTGCACAAAAAAGAAAACAGCCTTATTTAGACAAAATTCATATGCCATATAATCAACGCATTTAAAATGTACAATTCAATGTTTTTTGTATATTCACAGAATTGTACAAACATTACCACAATTTTAGAACATTGTCATCTCATAAAAAGAGACTATAACCTTTAACTATCAGTCCCCCAAATTTCCCATTCCCCCATCCCAGCCCTAGGCAAACACTAATCTTCTTTCTATTTATATGTCTTTGCATGTTATAGATATTTAATATAAATGGAATTATACTGACATCTTTCACCTAGAATAATGTTTTCAAGGTTCTTCAATGTTGTAGCATGTACTACTAATTCATTCCCTTTTATTCCTGAATAATGTTCCATTGTATAGATATACCACTTTTGTTTATCCATTCTTCACTTCATGCACATTTGGATGCTTCCATTTTTTTGGCTATTATAAATAATGCTGCCATGAAAATTCATGTCCAAGATTTTTTTGTAGAAATTTGCTTTCATTTGTCTTGGGTATATATCTAGAAGTAAAACAACATTTTAAAGAACTGTCAAAATGTTTTCCAAAGCAATTGGACCATTTTACATCTCCACCAGAAATTCATGAGGATTTCATTTTCTCTTCATCCTCACCAACATTTTTTATTTTCGTTTAAAATTATTAGTATTACTAGAGGCCCAGTGAATGAAAATCATGCACTGGCGGGGGAGGGGGGTGGTCCCCTCAGCCTGGCCTGAGCCCTCTCACAGTCCAGAAACCCTCAAGGGATGTCCCCCTAGGATTGGGCCTAAGCTGGCAGTCAGACATCCCTCTCACAGTCCGGGACCCCTTGCTCCTTACTGCCTGCCTGCTCGCTGCTCCTTACTGCTCAGCTTACTGCTCCGTAGTGCTGCTGCAGAGGCAGGAGAGGCTCCCTCCACTGCCACTGTGATTGCCAGCCATTAGCCTGGCTTTTGGCAGAGCAGTGCTCCCCGTGTGGGAGTGCACTGACCACCAGGGGGCAGCTCCTGCATTGAGCATCTGCCCCCTGGTGGTCAGTGCATATCATAGAGACTGGTCATCCTGGTCATTCCACTGTAACAGTCGTTTAGGCTTTTATTATATAGACTAGTAGCCCAGTGCATGAAATTTGTACACATTAAAAGGTAATTAATTGCCCTAACCGGTTTGGCTCAGTGGATAGAGCGTCGGCCTGTGGACTCAAGGGCCCCAGGTTTGATTCTGGTCAAGGGCATGTACCTTGGCTGTGGGCACATCCTCAGTGGGTAGTGTGCAGGAGGCAGCTGATCAATGTTTCTCTCTCATCGATGTTTCTAACTCTCTATCCCTCTCCCTTCCTCTCTGTAAAAAATCAATAAAATATATTTTTTTAAAAGGTAATTAATTAGCAGAGATATTTAATATTGCTATTCGCCCTTTCTCT